AATAAGCTCTTTAAGCAATAAGCTCTTTAAGCAATAAGCTTTATAAAAGGCTTTATAAGCAATAAGCTTCTTAAGCTTTATAAGCTCTTTGAGCAATAAGCTTCTTAAGCTCTTTAAGCAATAAGCTTCTTAAGCTTTATAAGCTCTTTAAGCAATAAGCTTCTTAAGCTCTTTAAGCAATAAGCTTCTTAAGCTTTATAAGCTCTTTAAGCAATAAGCTTCTTAAGCTCTTTAAGCAATAAGCTTCTTAAGCTTTATAAGCTCTTTAAGCAATAAGCTTCTTAAGCTCTTTAAGCAATAAGCTTTTTAAGCTTTATAAGCTCTTTTAAGCAATAAGCTTCTTAAGCTCTATTTTCTGCTTATAAGCTTCTTAAGCTTTATAAGCTCTTTAAGCAATAAGCTTCTTAAGCTTTATAAGCTCTTTAAGCAATAAGCTTCTTAAGCTTTATAAGCTCTTTAAGCAATATGCTTCTTAAGCTTTATAAGCTCTTTAAGCAATAAGCTTCTTAAGCTTTTTAAGCTCTATCTCAAATATATTTTTTCTTAAAATTCGTGTCATTTTTTTGCAGTTGAACGACCGGGAAGTGGTGCAAAGACATCGTTGTCGTACCACTTCTCCTCCATCCGGCAATTCCCATCGACGCTCGCTGACGGTACTTTGGGAAAAGATTCGAAGAAAATTGAAGAAAAGAAAAAAAACTGATAGACTCTGGATATAGTTTGGAAATAGAGCTCTTGAATAGACTTTAAAAAGTTGTAAGCCTAGCTTAATTCTGAGCTTAGACCTACAGGATGCGGTGAAAGTTCTATCCTTTTTTCCTTTTTTAATTCTCTCTAATTGAATTCTTTCTGGTTTTTATTATTTCATAAGGGTTTATAGCCAAAAGATGATGATGGTGATGATAATAATAATAATAATAAATAATAATAATAATAATGGCTATTGTTCCACGGTCATTGCCCCACGCTATTGCAGTGGGGCAGTTCCGTGTGGCAGTTCGTGTAGCAGTTCCGTGGGGCGGCGGCTCCATGGGGCAGTTTTATGAATGATAATAATAGTAATAATGGATATTGCTCCACGGCTATTGCCCCACGGCTACTTCCCCACGGTCATTGCCCCACGCTATTGCAGTGGAGCAGTTCCGTGGGGCGACGGCTCCATGGGGCAGTTTTATTAATGATAATAATAATAATGTATATTGCTCCACGGCTATTGCCCCACGGCTATCGCCCCGCGGCTATTGCCCCACGCTATTGCAGTGGTGCAGTTCCGTGGAGCAGTTCGTGGGGCTGTTCGTGGGGCTGTTCCGTGAGGCGGCGGCTCCATGGGGCAGTTTTATTAATAATAACAATAATAATAATAATAATAATAATAATAATGGCTATTGCTCCACGGCTATTCCCCCACGCTTCTGCAGTGGGGAATTCCGGTTTGTCAGTTCATGGAGCAGTTCCAATTTTCTTCTTTTAAATAGCTTCTTTTTAAATAGCTTCTTTAATTCTTGAATTTTGAGTTATCACAATTTGTGTGAGCTCTATGCTCGCACCAATATTACCAGTAGAAAATCTGTCAAGCTTAGAATTCAGATGATTGGGAGTATTCAAAGCAGAAATTGTTTATCAGTTCAGAAATACAACAACAGTTTCAATAAGTTTCTCATTTTTATAGAAGTTTTTGCAATTAAAAAGCGCAAAAATATGTGCGAGCACAGATATTTTGTTTTGGAAGAGCATAGAATGGTGATAACTCAAATGGCGATAACTCAAATGGCGATAACTCAAATGGCGATAACTCAAAAGCTAAAGAATTTATTTAAAAACTGTAATAAGATTTCAATTCTATAAAAGATTGGCTATCTTTGGGTTATCTTTTGGCTATCTTTTGGCTATCTTTTGGCTATCTTTTGACTATCTTTTGCCTATAAATACTTATGAAAAAAACAATCAGGAAGCAAGCATTCAAAGTCAACGATTCAAACAAATATCTCAAGAGTCTATCAGTCAGAATCTCCATTTCCCCTTCTTCAAAGTCTCAATCTTTTCCCACCCCGTAGTCGGCTGTCTTTTCCCCATTTTTCCAAGATTTCCTTTTTTTTTTCATTTCCTCTCCCTGGTTCTTTAAATCTTTTTTTGTTAACCCAAGAAAATCTTCAAGTTTGTTAGAGAAGATGGAGAAGAAGAGGATGCAAAGATATATGTCTAGATAGATCAATATCTAGATATCTATTAGGTTGTTCGGATATAAACAAGCGTTACTAAACTTATTGTTGTGAGAGAAGCTTTTAAAAGATGTCTTTCTGTATTTAAAAGTACGTTATCTTGTGTAGATTTGGAATCTTTTTAAACGGATAGAAGCTTTAGAGAAGCTTTAGAGAAGCTTTAGAGAAGCTTTAGAGAAGCTTTAGAGAAGCTTTAGAGAAGCTTTAGAGAAGCTTTAGAGAAGCTTTAGAGAAGCTTTAGAGAAGCTTTAGAGAAGCTTTAGAGAAGCTTTAGAGAAGCTTTAGAGAAGCTTTAGAGAAGCTTTAGAGAAGCTTTAGAGAAGCTTTAGAGAAGCTTTAGAGAAGCTTTAGAGAAGCTTTAGAGAAGCTTTAGAGAAGCTCTAGAAGCTTTGGAGAAGCTCTAGAAGCTTTGGAGAAGCTCTAGAAGCTTTGGAGAAGCTCTAGAAGCTTTGGAGAAGCTCTAGAAGCTTTAGAGAAGCTCTAGAAGCTTTAGAGAAGCTCTAGAAGCTTTAGAGAAGCTCTAGAGCTTTAGAGAAGCTTCTAGAGCTTTAGAGAAGCTTCTAGAGCTTTAGAGAAGCTTCTAGAGCTTTAGAGAAGCTTTTACTTCAAGTCAAGTTAGCGTTTGCCTACTTTACGACTTCAAACTGGGCAAAACAGTAGCGGAATCCTATTGAGATTTGGTCAAAGCATTTGGGAATGATGTATTGTTCGAAAGCCGATGCCGAGCCTGGTTCCAACGCTTTCGGAAACGGTGATGAAAGTCTCGAGGATGATGAGCAACGATACTGTGAGACAAACGGACGACCTCAAGCGGTAGACAACGATATTTTGAGTCGGAATCGGATCCATGCAATCGAATCGGATCCATGCAATGGAATCGGATCCTTGTCAAACGACGCGTGAACTTGCTCAACAGTTTCTGTGTTTAAATTCTACCATTGATGAGCATCTCCATTGAAAAGGCTCCACGCCATTTGGCCATTGAAAAGGCTCCACGCCATTGGAAAGGCGATCTGATGCGGAAAATTGCTTCCTTAAAAAAATGGCAGTGTAAACGGCTTAAGCCAGTGTAAACGGCTTAAGCCAGTGTAAACGGCTTAAGCCAGTGTAAACGGCTTAAGCCAGTGTAAACGGCTTAAGCCAGTGTAAACGGCTTAAGCCAGTGTAAACGGCTTAAGCAAGCCAGTGGTAAACGGCTTGAAGCCAGTGCAAACGGTTGGCCAAGCCGGTGCAAACGGCAAGCCAGTTAAGCAAGCCTAAGGCCAGTGCAAACGGCTTAAGCAAGCTGGCTAAGCCAGGCAAACGGCTTAAGCCAGTGCAAACGGCTTAAGCCAGTGCAAACGGCTTAAGCCAGTGCAAACGGCTTAAGCCAGTGCAAACGGCTTAAGCCAGTGCAAACGGCTTAAGCCAGTGCAAACGGCTTAAGCCAGTGCAAACGGCAAGCCAGTGCAAACGGCTTAAGCCAGTGCAAACGGCAAGCCAGTGCAAACGGCTGTGGGCCAGTGCAAACGGCTTAAGCCAGTGCAAACGGCTTAAGCCAGTGCAAACGCTCGTTTATATCCGAACAACCTAATAATATGAAGATGGAGAAGAAGAGAAGATTAAGCTTAAAGCAAAGCTTAAAGTGATATCATGTTATATCACTTCAAATACTATCAAACTTAAAGATTTTCTCTTCTCTAATAGCCAGCTATTTGTAGAAAGCACCGTAGACGGACTGGTCAAAAAAAATAACAGAAATTCAGCTTTTAAATCAAAAAAGAATCGACATCGCTTTTCTAGAATCTCAGCGTCGATTGAAAGAGTTGGTATTGAGAAATCGTTTGAAAAGTCAAAAAATGAAGTAAGCTGTGAGCCTTTGATCGAGAGTTAGCTGTAAGCCTGAGCCTGGCTCAACCCTGGCTAGCCTTTAATCCAAATCTAATCCAGAGCCAAACCAGAAATAAGTGTCAAGCCACCAGAGCCATTCCTGTGCCGATCAAAGGCTTTCAGTAATTCAGAAATCACCTCTAGTTCACAATTCTTGATCACAACTCTCTAGAAACCGGTCCGGGGTGCGAATAGGCCTCTTCTTCCACTTCTTTTCCCTTGATCCAATTTTCATTTCATTCTCGAGATTGTCCAAAACCCTAAAAAGTACGGTAGCGGTGCCGTGGAGTTACTGTGGCTTTTTTTGAACGCAAATTTCTATATTCAAATTTTCCAGGAAGCGCCACCGGTGGAAACCCAGCGATTGCCGATGGCAGAACAGCCTGGGAAAGGGGTAAAGATCGAAAAATGTATCTAGATATAAGATTAGATCTAGAATCTTATATCTAACATTATAAATGTTTGGATAAAAATTTCAGCTTGAATCCCATCCACTCAAGCCGCAATTCGATCTGAAATCATATGAAGGCACAGACGCAAAACCGGAGACGAAAGATCGAGTGGTGAGTTGGATATGGCTTGGCTTAGGGTTGCCTGGCTTAGGGTTGGGCTGGCTTGGACTTAGTGCGTAGGCTTAGGGTTGGCTTGGCTTAGGCTTAGGCTTAGGCTTAGGTTTAGGCTTAGGCTTAGGCTTAGGTTTAAGCTTGGACTTAGTGCGAAGGCTAGCGGCTAGCGCCTCGCACTAAGTCTATTTGGGTTTGGGCTAACTCCTCATTTTCTGGTTAGGCTTAGGCTTAGGGTTGGGCTGGCTTAGAGTTGATCCGGTTTAGGTTTAGGCTTAGGCTTAGGCTCAGGGTTTGCCTGGCTCAGGCTTGGCTGGCTTAGGGTTGATCCGATTCAGGTTTAGGCTTAGGCTTAGGGTTGGGCTGGCTTAGGGTTGGGCTGGCTTAGGGTTGGGCTGGCTTAGGGTTGGCCTGCTTAGGGTTGGCCCGGTTAAGGGTTGACCCGGCTCAGAGTTGGCCCGGCTCAGGTTTAGGCTTAGGCTCAGGGTTGGCCTGCTTAGGGTTGGCCCGGCTCAGGGTTGACCTGGCTCAGGTTTAGGCTTAGCCTCAGGGTTGGTCCGGCTCAGGGTTTGTCTGGCTTAGGGTTGGGCTGGCTCAGACTAAAGCCGATCTAAGATCCAATCCAATCTAAGATCCAATCCAACCTAAAATCCAATCCAATCTAATATTTCAGCTGCACATGATCGCCTTGAACGTGCCGTTATCGGGTCGAATGTCTGGTTTGCGTGGAGCCGATCTCCAGTGCTATAAAGAGTCGCGACAGGCCGGCTTTGTCACCACATTCCGAGCGATGTTGTCAAGTAAAGTGCAGGCAAGTTTTTGAAAACACTTTAGTAAAGATCTGGAAGTAAGTAAAGATCTTGTAAAGATTGCTGAGAAGTAAAGTATACGTTAGAAACAGAGCTACAATATTGTAGTTAGCACATACTGTACTACTACTCTTTGAGTTCTTTTTAGCTCGATAACTGTACTTAGATATTCGAGGTACTGTACTTAGACAAGGCTTGGATACAGTAGCTTATCAAGCTTATAGCTTATAAAATCGATAATCAAACCTTCAAACTTCTAGGACATGTCCCGCATTGTTCACGCGATCGATCGAGGCACTCGGGTGGTGAATTTGAAAGGAGAAGAGCTATTCCCATCATGGGATGAATTGTTGTTGGGACGACCACCAAATGAACAAGTTCCACTCTACACATTCCACCGAGAAGACGTTTTCACGTCACCGAATTGGTTAGTTTCAATTCGATTCGGTCAATTCGAATCGGTCAATTCGAATCGGTCAATTCGATTGTTCAATTCGATTGTTCAGATACCTCCAGATACTTCCAGATAACTATAAAATTAACTCTAGGAACGATCGTCGCATTTGGCACGGTTCGATCGAGGGTGGAATGCGTGCGGATGACTCGATTTGTGATGGATGGAGGACGGGCAGTGCATGGGAAACAGCACTCGCTTCACAGGTTTATATCAAATTAACAAATATCAAACGGGAATCGAATTAAAGTAGAGAAAATGGGTGATTTTTTGAGTTAAAGCAAAGATTTTTTGCATTAACCAGCGCTTAGAACAAAATGATTGAAAAATGAAGAAAAATCGGCTTTTTTGCCAACTTTGTTTTTGCCGCTAATCAAGCCGCTCATTCGTCGTTTTGATTGTCAATAGGTGTACGAAGGAAAACAGCTACCTTTTTGCACTTGAATACCTACTTTTTCAGACATTCTTGCTACACAAAGATAGAACTTTTCAAGCTCTATTTTTTTTTGTTCTTTTTCTAGCTGTTGAAGCTGTTTGTTAGTAGCTCAAAAAGCTATTAAAGTGAACAAAAAACTTTTTACACCTATCGACAATCAGATTGAAAACAAACATACCGTAAATACTGTAATAGTACCGCACCCCCATAATGACGGTGCGGAGTGTTGCGTTGTCTAGCTTTGAACGAGTTTTTCTCGACACTGGTTTATGCTACAATGCGCGCTTTGGTATCAAAAAATAGCTGAAATTCAGGGCTATTTTTTGATACCAAAGCGCGCATTGTAGCATAAACTAGTGTCGAGAAAAACTCATTCAAAGTTAGACTACGCAGCGCTCCGCACAACAGCTTTGAAAAAAATGAAATACTAAAAGAGTTTTGCGACTACGCGACTGTACAGTGGGTGGGGTACAGTTCAACTAGTTCTAGAAGCCTAGATCGATGCCAGAACCGAAATCTAGGCTCGAGTTCTGGTCAAGGTCAAGTTTTTCAAGTTAGAGTACTCTAGTTCTGGGTTTAGGCTTGGATTAGGTACAGGTTCAAGTACAGACAGTACAGACGGTTCAAGTACAGACCTAGACTAAGTACTGTGTTTATTCTAATAGAAGCGCAACCTCTAATAAGAGCACACGTTGACACGTCCTTTCGGAAGGTGAGTCCTCCCCATATATTTTTTAAATATTGGCACCCAAGTCCCAAGGCATCAAATACAAACAGTTCTCCGGGATCTTCTAAAGAACCCACCGTAAATACTGTAATAGTACCGCACCCCCATAATGACGGTGCGGAGTGTTGCGTTGTCTAGCTTTGAACGAGTTTTTCTCGACACTGGTTTATGCTACAATGCGCGCTTTGGTATCAAAAAATAGCCCTGAATCTCAGCTATTTTTTGATACTTAAGCCAGCATTCTAGCAGAAACTAGTGTCGAGAAAAACGCGTTCAAAGTTAGACTACGCAGCGCTCCGCACTTTGAACGCGTTTTTCTCGACACTGGTTTATGCTACAATGCGCGCTTTGGTATCAAAAAATAGCTGAAATTCAGGGCTATTTTTTGATACCAAAGCGCGCATTGTAGCTTAAACCAGTGTCGAGAAAAGCCCTCGTTTAAATAGCCCTGAATTTCAGCTATTTTTTGATACCAAAGACGCATTTTTTGAAAGTACGGGCGCTTTGAAAAAATGAAATAGTAAAAAACTTTTGCGACTACGCGACTGTACGAGGTGGGGTACTATTACAGTATTTACGGTAATAGCTAGCAAAACATTAGGCATAGGGAAATGCCAAGCCAAACCTAATTCCACCTTTGTTTTCTCGTTTTCTCGCTCGTCGCTTAGCCGATTTGCTCTAAAATTTTGTCTACAAACTGAAAATCTCGATTTCTAACTGTAGACAAGATTTGAGAGGAATCGGCCAAGAAATAGCCGAGAAAACGAAGCTGGAATTAGGCTCGGTTCGGAATTTATAGTAAGTCATATCTAGTAAACTAGGTTTAAACTATTACTAATTTCATGATTTCATGATTTCATGATTTCATGTTTTCATGCTTTCATGATTTCATGATTTCATGCTTCCATTTCCAGCTTGTTCCGGGACGACCACTAGTCGGTGACGCCGAAAAAGTCGGATGTGATGCGCGACTGGTTGTCCTCTGCGTTGAGGTGGGTTTTTCGATTCGACGGGGGCAAGTTTTTGTTGGCCAACTTGCATCTCATTATGGCCATCTTTATAGCCATCTTTATGGCCATCTTTATGGTCATCTTCGGCCATCTTTATGACCATCTTTATGACCATCTTTATGGCCATCTTTATGCATCTTAAACTTGTCAAATCAGAAAGTTTTAATAAGATTTAGATAGCTTAGAATGTTAGCTTTCAGAAAGTAGATGCTTTATCAAAAGTTTCAAACAAAAACCTATTTAAAATCGGAGCGCAAGTTGATCAAGGAACTTACCCCGCCTCCGCCCTAAACAATAAACTAAACAAGAAACTAAACAAGAAACTAAAATAGAAACTAAACTAGAGACTAAACTCGAGACTAAACAAGAAACTAAACAAGAAACTAAACAAGAAACTAAGGAATTAGGTTCGATTTGGAATTTTCTCATCTCTATTGGATTGGTGAATTGAAAAATGCGGGCTATTGTGACAGTTTGAGCACTTTCTTCAAAAGAAACCCATTTTGGTGTCAATGGAAAAAAAAGGAAAAAAAAGAATGAAAAAATAAAACAGGACGAAAGACTGAAAAATGAAAAATTCTTTCTGTCGGGGTCCTTTTATTGCGCCGGGTTACGGTAGTTTCCGACGGAAACGTCTGAAAGGCAAAGTGTACGGTGGACGGTCCGAAAGGCATCTGTCGTCAGAATTTTATTATTTCAAGAGAGAATTCCTTTAAATTGATTTAAAGTAAAATTAAATTGAACTCAATTTGTTTAATTACTTTTTTAATTATTATTTTTAATTTATTGGGTTGGCTACAGTAGTCCAATATACAGTACCGTAAAACGACTAAAAGAGCTGTTTTCTTATAGGATTATGCCAAAAACAGTGTGCCAGATGGGTGACGTTTGCGCTTTTTTTCGACAACCTATCAGCAATGCTTAATTTCTTCAAGAAAACTGTTTTCCTATCAAATAAAAGATACTCAGTTGACTAAATTGCTTAATTTCTTTGATTGGATTAAATATAAATAATAGATTAACGTAAATATTCTAATATTGGATTGGTGAATTGAAAAATGCGGGCTATTGTCATATGTGACAGTTTGAGCACTTTCTTCAAAAGAAACCCATTTTGGTGTTCAGCCTAGCATGAGGTATTCAGTCTACATTAGCTGGATTACGGTATTTAGTCTAGATCAAGGTATTCAGCCTAGAATAAGGTATTTAGTCTACATTAGCTGGATTATGGAGAAAAAAAAGAAAAAAGAAAAAGAAAAAAAAGAATGAAAAAATAAAACAGGACAAAAGACTGAAAAATTCTTTCTGCCGGGGTCCTTTTATTGCGTCGGGTTACGGTAGTTTCCGACGTTTGGCGCGGAAACGTCTGAAAGGCAAAGTGTACGGTGGACGGTCCGAAAGGCATCTGTCGTCAGAATTTTATTATTTCTAGAGAGAATTCCTTTAAATTGATTTAAAGTAAAATTAAATTAAACCCAATTTGTTTAATTACTTTTTTAATTATTACTTTTAATTATTACTTTTAATTATTACTTTTAATTATTATTTTTAATTTATTGGGTTGGTGAATTGAAAACTGCGGGCTATTGTCATATGTGACAGTTTGAGCACTTTCTTCAAAAGAAACCCATTTTGGTGTTCAGCCTAGCATGAGGTATTCAGTCTACATTAGCTGGATTACGGTATTTAGTCTAGATCAAGGTATTCAGCCTAGAATAAGGTATTTAGTCTACATTAGCTGGACTATGGAGAAAGAAAAAGAAAAAAGAAAAAGAAAAAAAGACTGAAAAAATAAAACACGACGAAAGACTGAAAAATGAAAAATGAAAAATTCTTTCTGCCGGGGTCCTTTTATTGCGTCGGGTTACGGTAGTTTCCGACGTTTGGCGCGGAAACGTCTGAAAGGCAAAGTGTACGGTGGACGGTCCGAAAGGCATCTGTCGTCAGAATTTTATTATTTCAAGAGAGAATTCCTTTAAATTGATTTAAAGTAAAATTAAATTAAACCCAATTTGTTTAATTACTTTTTTAATTATTATTTTTAATTATTACTTTTAATTATTATTTTTAATTATTACTTTTAATTATTACTTTTAATTTCTAAAATATTCGAAAATAAAAGCATAAATAAACGAAATCTCTTTCAGAACATGTCAAAGTACAACGTCGATCGCATCTTGGCAAAGAAAAATGTGCACGAATTGAATTAAACGATTGTTTTTTTCAAAGATCAATTCCTTTTTGATGGTCAAATCACTTGAATGGTTATTTATTTTCATATTTTTCCGTTTCTTTCCTTTCCTTTCCTTTTTTTCCTTTTCCTGATCTAAGAAATGAGATTTCAGCTATATCTATTTTTTTTGAAAGTGAAAATCCCGAAAAAATCGACTTCAATTCACGGAATTTTTTCAGATTTAGGTTCAGATCAAAGTTTTAAATTTAATAAGTTTAGTTTAATCATTTTTATGTCTGTTTTATGTTTTTAATTTTATGTTTTATGTTTTAATTTATATCAGGATCAGCTCTAAAGTTTGGTTTTAAACAAGACCTGGGTTACGTGAAGGTCAATCAAATCTGGCTAAGTTTGGTTCCTAACTGGATCTAAACCAAATCTGAACCTAAATCTGATTTATGTCAAGACCAGGGAGATTCCCAAAAGACTCCAGCACCTAGAAGTCAGTCCTGGCATCTAGAAGCATCTAGAAGTCAGTTTTGCCATCGAGAAGCATCTAGAAGTCAGTCCTGCCATCTAGAAGCATCTTGAAGTCAGTCCTGCAATCTAGAAGCATCTAGAAGTCAGTCCTACAATCTGAAAGCATTTAGAAGTCAGTCCTGCAATCTAGAAGCATCTAGAAGTCAGTCCTACAATCTAGAAGCATCTAGAAGTCAGTCCTGCAATCTAGAAGCATCTAGAAGTCAGTCCTACAATCTAGAAGCATCTAGAAGTCAGTCCTGCCATCTAGAAGCATCTAGAAGTCAGTCCTGCAATCTAGAAGCATTTAGAAGTCAGTCCTGCAATCTAGAAGCATTTAGAAGTCAGTCCTACAATCTAAAAGCATTTAGAAGTCAGTCCTGCCATCTAGAAGCATCTTGAAGTCAGTTCTGGCATCTTTTCCAAAAGCTTAACCATTTTTCTTTGGGTATTCAGCTTTATATGCTAATTTTATGCAAAAAAATTTTCTTTTTTTAAACCTTAATTTAATTCCTTTAATTCACTGCCATAAAACCATAATGCCATAATTAAAAACGCCCCGATTTCTGTAAATCTGTCATATGCGTATCGTTTTTTTTGTTTTCTTTTAAATGCTATAAATGTTTTGATTTTAAAATGCTATAAATTTATTGATTTTAAAATCTTTTAAATAACATTTATTAAGCTTTTTTTGGGTTACATTTTGCAAAAATTGCAAAAAGCAAAAATTTGCTTACATTTGAATCTTGCAAATATAATTATTGGATGGAGCGAATGAGTCACAAGCGAAAGTGTAGCCGAACACGGGCGCGCCCGAGAGGGAAGCGATTGTCGGGTTTAACTGGAAATCGTTCTTGGTGTCATTCGATGCGTCAAGTCTTTCTCTATCGATTGGTATAAAAATGATTGAGATTGGACAATCCAACACTGAGATATTTGATCTCAAAGTTGGATTGCTAATGCCAGGGGGGCGCCGCGACAATTATGGCGCATTCTGTAGTTTGATAGAAAGGTTTTAAGCTTTTAAATGATATAGAATTTCGAATGATTGATGATGATAAGAAATTTCAAATGATTCAAATCAAAGAAACACCTAAATGCACTACTTTGTTCAGCAGAGTTCTGAGTACAATTCTGTGCCAAATCCAAATACTTTTGATGATCTTTTGATCCCCCAGCAATGAAAGCAAGCTGTTTTGAGCTATGATAATCAAGAGATTTGTTTTACTAGAGTAATCTTCTAGAGTAATCTAAAGTTAAAGTTTCAGATTTCAGTTCAGAGCTTCAGATAAATCTTATAGTAGACAAATCACCGTGCAAATGGCTCCCGTCTCGCACTGGGCCTCGGGTATCGTCAAATTGCTCATCGGGCTTGTGGAGGTCTAGAAAAGGCTTTAGATCACATAGAAGATACTATTTTGTATTCAAAAAATATTCAAACCAACCACCGTTCCATTCGTTTGCTCAACAACGGCCACTGGTTGGAGATCGCGCTTTTTGCGTTGTCCACTATTTTCCTAAATTTTTTTCGATAACGGTATTGGATTTGGAAAGAAAAAGGATCACTTTACCAAGAATGGATCAAAAGTAAACGGACTGCCATCACTCCATTCCCATGCCCCATTTTGACATGAGAGCCCCGTCCAAAAGCGATCGTTCGTTGAGCCCTTTGTGTTCAAAACCATTCCTGAAACGGCTCTATTAGGCTATAGTTTTAAATATCTATGACTTAGTACAAGATTGATAGCTTTAATCTAAACTTGTAGTGAACTTGGGATTAGAACTGTGCTTGGCTAGCTTGGCCTGACTTGGATTAGATCCTAGGCCTGAGTTGGCTTGAACTAGATTCTAGGTTTGACCTGGCTTGAACTAGACCTTAGGCCTGGCCTGGCTTGACCTTGGCCCTAGGACTGGCTTGGCTTGAACTAGACCCTAGGCCTAGCTTGACCTGGCTTGGACTAGATCCTAGGCCTGGCTTGGCTTGGATTAGACCATAGGCCTGGCTTGGCTTGAACTAGATCCTAGGTTTGACCTGGCTTGGACTAGATCCTAGGCCTGGCTTGGCTTGGATTAGACCATAGGCCTGGCTTGGCTTGAAATAGACCCTAGGCTTGACCTGGCTTGGACTAGACCCTAGGCCTAGCCTGGCTTGGACTAGACTCTAGACCTAGCCTAGCCTGGCTTGGACTAGACCCTAGGCCTAGCCTGGCCTGGCTTGGACTAGACCCTAGGCCTAGCCTGGCTTGGACTAGACCCTAGGCCTAGCCTGGCCTGGCTTGGACTAGACCCTAGGCCTGGTCTGGCCTGGCTTGAACTAGATCCTAGGCCTGGCCTGGCTTTGCCTGGCAAGTACTATTGAACACTCAGACCCTGTGAGGGTTCAAAGTGGATAAAATTGGAGAAAAATAAAGACAAAATTACGGTAGAAAGAAAGTGGGGCGCGGCTTAGACTCCACTGAATCCAATAGTATCCAATCCTTTTTAAGGCAACTTTTAGAAAAACACTGACCAAGTAGCGATAGAATTTCCTGTGTGCTCGTCAGCGACACCAACATTCCATTCATTTCCTCGCAGAGACTTTCGGCTTCCGGTTGACTCACCGCTGTTTCAGCGTTGACGACCTGGGAAATGTTGGCAAATAATGAAATGATATCTAGATTTTGAATATAGAAAAACATGAAAAACCTTAGATTCTCAACGGCAAAAAGCATCAACAGATTTCTTCGTTACAAATCTACTTTATATTGTACTGTTCATAAAGAATTAACCTTATAACAAGCATTTGAGAACGACAAATATGACCATCCCTGCGGGCAAGATTCTGAAAAGGTTTTTGAAAGGTTTTGAAGGGTTTTGAAGGGTTTTCGAATTTCAAAAAACTTTTATGATTTTAAATATTTATAGCTGTTAGTTAGGCTTAAATATAATCTCCTTTTTGTTCATATAATATGCTCATTACATGCTCATTATATGCTCATTATATGCTCGTAAAAGCCCTAAAATAGAATATGTAAATGTAAAAAGCATACGAATTTTCGGCATCATGCAAATGCCGCTCATCGACATTGCACAATCGGCGAAATACCAGCGTCCATTCGTGTGCAACAAAATGCAGACTTCGATTTGATCTTGAGACGTGTGCAAGTCGGAATCGAGTACTGAAATGGAAAATGAGGAATTGTGCTGGAATTGTGGCCGAATTGTGGCCATATTGTGGCCATATTGTGGCCATATTGTGCCCGCATTGTGCCCGAATTGTGCCCGAATTGTGCCCCGAATTGTGGTCATATTGTGGCCATATTGTGCCCGAATTGTGCCCCGAATTGTGCCCCGAATTGTGGCCATATTGTGCCCCGAATTGTGGCCATTTTGTAGCCATATTGTGCCCCGAATTGTGCCCGAATTGTGCCCCGAATTGTGGCCATATTGTGGCCCGAATTGTGCCCCGAATTGTGCCCCGAATTGTGCCCCGAATTGTGCCCGAATTGTGGCCATATTGTGCCCAAATTGTGGCCATATTGTGCCCGAATTGTGCCCGAATTGTGGCCATATTGTGCCCGAATTGTGCCCCGAATTGTGCCCCGAATTGTGCCCCGAGTTGTGCCCGAATTGTGGCCATATTGTGGCCATATTGTGCCCCGAATTGTGCCCGAATTGTGGTCATATTGTGCCCCGAATTGTGCCCGAATTGTGCCCCGAATTGTGCCCGAATTGTGCCCCGAGTTGTGCCCGAATTGTGCCCCGAATTGTGCCCCGAATTGTGCCCGAATTGTGCCCCGAATTGTGCCCGAATTGTGCCCCGAATTTTGCCCATATTGTGCCCATATTGTGGCCATATTGTGCCCGAATTGTGCCCCGAATTGTGCCCCGAATTGTGCCCCGAATTGTGCCCCGAGTTGTGCCCGAATTGTGGCCATATTGTGGCCATATTGTGCCCCGAATTGTGCCCGAATTGTGGTCATATTGTGCCCCGAATTGTGCCCGAATTGTGCCCCGAATTGTGCCCGAATTGTGCCCCCGAGTTGTGCCCGAATTGTGCCCCGAATTGTGCCCCGAATTGTGCCCGAATTGTGCCCCGAATTGTGCCCGAATTGTGCCCCGAATTTTGCCCATATTGTGCCCATATTGTGGCCATATTGTGCCCGAATTGTGCCCAATTTGCAAACGAACCAGTTGTGAATTTCGTCTCGCAATCCTCGCCAAAGCTTCGATTCAAATACGATGGATTTATGTAGTTGTGCTAAAGAAATTTTCAAATGCAAAGAGCTTTTCAAATTCAATGAATTTTTGCATTTTCTATGATCAAAGTCTTTTCATTCAAATGAATGAAGAGAATTTGATCTCTTCTTCATTCAAATTCTAAGATCAAACTCACAAAACTTTGCACAAAAGCCTGCACAAGATGCGCGTCGCGGATTGGCTGCTTCGAGATCGTGGACACCGTTTCAATGCCACACTCCATTCGATTGATGTAATTACTGTAAATTAAGTTATACAAGATCAAAGAAAAGCAAAGCAAAGAAGCAGTTAGCATTACTTTTATCATATTTATTCTAATAGAGATTTCTTAAGCCTGCAAAGCCTACAAAGCCTGCAAAGCCTGCAAAGCCTGCAAAGCCTACAGATTGGCCTATCCAATCTATAAATACTTGAACTCACTCGCAAGGATCACTGCTTCCTCTTGAGTCGATGCATTGCTGTAAATGCTTTGTGAAGCCGCCCGCATTTTGAGCACAAAATGGATAGATGCCAAAAACTAAAATGCACAAAGTGCAGATGATAAAGCGGACACGATTTCAATGGGCTAGAATCACAAAAAAACCGTTGATTCTTGGTGGCTTTTCATTGCCGAACCTTGATGCTTTGTCCCTGCTTCTCCACCGTTGACAAATTCGAGTATTCCATCGGCTCCCTGCACCGCGCCAACCCACGCATACCCGGTTTTCGTGTCTAAACTCGACTTAGCTCTTTTTAGCTCTTTTTAGCTAAACCGTTTTCTAAACCGTGTCCCTTTTTCTTTCCACCGTAATCTAGGAACAGCGCCAAAAATCCAGCGCCGTAAAAAATGACAGGAAAACGTTCATTTCAGCGCCAAATCGAGAAAAAAAAGCTCAAAAACGTTCATTTCAACGCCGCGCATAAAAAAAACGTATAAAAAACCGTAATGATTCCAATAGAAGCACACCTTAGAGGGTCATTGAAAAATAGAAGCACAATCTCCAATAGAAGCATCACTTTTTTTTTATTGTGCGCTAGAACTACTCTACACTAGCTAACTTAATTGCTAGCTAACTAGCACTAGCTAACTTAATTGTTTTGAAACTATCCAAAAGTCATTCGTCAAACAGCTTCTTTAATTTTTACGTTCTTTTTATTACTTTATTCGTTTTCATTAAATAATTTTTTGTTTTTAGGTAGATGTCGCCGGCTCAACAATGTCAAAGCTTTGATGAGCTCGAGGAATTTGCAAACAAGGCTTCACGGGTCGCTATTGCCGGAATCCTCGAGGAATTTCGCTTTCGCCGGAAAAACGAACTAGACGGATGGTATGATGAAGGACGCAAAGTTGCGCGAGATATCGATCGGTTGCACAAGAAATCGATCGGTTGCACAAGGTTAACGAAAGCCGCAGTGATGCAGATTTGATAGTCGGAGCTGGGAGTTGCCTCGACTGATGCCTCGACGATCGACGTGATGCCCATGGCGATGCCATTTCGAGTAAAAACGAAGATGAGCCACTCGAAGCTTCACGAAAACCAAAGGCTTATACGAGAAGTTTAAAAGCAGAAGCTGTGGAATACGCAAAGAGAATTTGAAACAAGTTTGGTGCCAATCAAACAGTGCCAGCGAGAAGTTTGGTGTCAATCAATCGATTATCAATTGTGTGATGGGTTCAGCAAAAGGATCAAATTGAGCAGCACCATTCTAGTGAATCTAAGCGTTTGAAAGAAGCCGGAAGACATTCAACATCAGTTGAATTAGCAGACAAATACCCAAATGGATTCGTGAGCGAAGAAATGCAAAACTAAAAGTCTCAAGACGAACGATTCGGAAAAAAGCATTGAAGTTGAGATCAGTGCCATCGATCGAGGAATTAAATAACAATTTCAACGCAAGTGAAGGGTGATTACAGATATGAAACAGCACAAACTTTCTTCTCGGATTCCTACGTTGATCGCACATTTCCTACGTCTCGAATTGCTAATATTTAGAAATAAATTAATTCTTAACACTAATCCGCTTATTCTTAATTCTCTTTCTCTGGCCAAATTTTCAGCAAAATCCATCCAAATCCAGCCGAGATTCCAAAGGCGTACATAGAAGCGCCGCGTTTGCGTGACGCACGGACAGGCATTTTATTTTTTATATATAGGTAGTTAGTTTTTGCAAGTTTTTATGGTTTCGCTACGGTTTTTGCACTTTTTTCATCTATTGCACCTAGAGCAAGGCTATAAGCATCAAATGCGCGAAAAAACACTTTTAATTAGCACTTATCAGTCGTTTTTTCAATGAAAATGTGCAAATTCGTTGTTTTTGTGATAATCGTCTCAAAATCGCATATTTTGCCGGTCTTTTTGCCTTTTTTTTTCTAGATTTTGCTTCTAGTTCCAGCATTTGCACAAAAAGTGTAAAAGCGTTTAAATTGTGCAAGAAATCACCATAAATACTCTAATAGAAGCGAACCCTTTGACTGAATATCTTGAGAAAGCTCAAGATATTCAGTCTTCAGTTTTCTACTATGTTCCTTACGTAAAAAAAACCCTCATTTCGTTTAACTTTTTGTTTTTCTACCCTTAGACAATTTTATAACGTTTTGCTACTTCATATGCTCTTTTTGCTAACAGAATATATCTTATACGTACTCACCCTAATCTCTAAACTTAAATTTAAGCACAAAATTCATTGAACGACCACACCACACCCTATTCTTTGTCTTTTTTGTCAGTTTCTTTTGGATTTCATACTTAATTTTTTTTCTTTAGATACGATGAGCGATCGAGAAAGCTTGGATGGATTTGAAGAATTTCGAGATTGAAGAGCAAAGCGAACCTCAACGGGCACTTTGATGAAGGGTGAGAGCATCTTCGTTAGAATGGATCCAGTGATTAATAAGTGAAGGAGTTGAGCAAAGACACGGCCAAGCAAAGACGGAAATCGATTGACGTGAGGATAAATGACGAGGCATCAAAAATGACAAAGGAAGTCTCCATCAGCTCTGCTGCGAAGTTTCCCAACATTGACCGAGCTTGCGTACAACGATATGTCAAAGAAGGAGACCTTAGCAAAGTTCAAAGTGCTTAGCAAAGTCCAAAGTGTCAAAGCATGGAAGCTTCTTTCGAATCTTTCGAAAGGAATGATTCAGCAATCTTTCAAAGGATGTGGAATTGAAATTTCAGCAACGGCGAAGAAGATTTAATGTTTCAAGGTCGACGGCGCAATTCCTACTGGGCTACAGCTGCTAAAAACGCTCGAACGGAGAAAGGAATCCATGATGTTCTGGGGCCACTCCAATCGACACGACTTCTGGAATTTCGCGAACTTGATAATCAAGAAGAAGGAATTTATTAATTTATTAATTCAAACGCATCGCTTTGCTTCGCATCGTAAATACTCTAATAGAAGCGCATGCGCTTCTATTAGAGTATTTTTTACGGTACGTGAATGGGAACGAAAAACCCGCCAGCGCTGAAATGAACGTTTTTCTGTCATTTTTCGCACTGCTTTGTAATGACGGCGCTTAAATGAATGGCGCTGAGTGCACAGTGCTGTATTTTTGATGTTATTCTAACTAGATTCCCGTAATTTTGTCTCTATTTTTATTCAATCTATCCACTTTCAATATCCTTCGTGAACGCTCACAGAAACAGAAAAAAAGTAGATAGATTGGGTAGAAGCAGAGACAAGATTTCAAGATTGCGATAGTCCATGAATTCCTAGCTTGTTCATCTTCTTGCTCACAATTCTGCAGAACCAATCCGATCAGTCGATCATCATAGATATCAATTGGTTGCGCGAGGATCCCGTGATAGCTCTCGCAATGAGCTTGCGCGTCGCTGAACGTCATCTCTAAAAACTCTACTTTGCTTGATTTATGGACAAAATATCTAGCACAAAATTTTAGGGTACTCTAGCCACAACCGGCTTAATACGGATTTTTGCTTAATACCGTGGGATTTCAAAGACTCAAAGTCGACTCGAAATCAGTCAACAAGAAAATTTCGGGTTATTCAATCGCAAACGATGATGCACAAGCCTCTACTTGAGGCAATTTGCATTTAACGGAAACGCAGGAACGATTCCCGTCAAATTTCGGAACTCACTCGGCGTAAAGTGTACACAATACGGTCTTCCCGGTACATCGACTGTGCCCGGCGGACATCCTTGACCAAAAACCACGCCAACAAATGAAATAAGCAAAAATCCGAGAATATTGCCGTTTCGAGCTTGAATTCTTGGCATCATTTTGGCAGAAAAATTTCTCAACTTTCGATTTGCGCTCGATGAATGGCCAAATGAGAGGGGATTTTCGCGGAAATCGGGGGGCTTGATTCACCGCAAAAACCGAGCGAAAAGATGAAATAATTGGTTTGAACATTGTGGGTGGAGTGAATGTGAATGCCCGATCAAAAAGGTTATAGTTCGGAGATCGGAAAATTTGACGAAAGTCCTTGACAGCGTAGATAAAAGTCAAAATTAGCTGATCAGCCCGTTTATGAAAACTTTCTTCAGCAATTTCAGCCATCCAAGCAATTTCTTAAACACCACGAAAGGTTATTTGATGATTCGTATAGCATTGAGCTATATGAAGATTGTCATTGTTCTCGGATAGATTGTCATTGTTCTTTGTTAACACCAAGTCGATATTTGAACACCAAGTCGCTCAGACACATTTTTGATAGCACTTTATTGTAGACATTGAATTGTAGACAAACTCTGTAGATTTTATTCCCAATACTATGCATTTTTGAAAATCCGATTTATTCACAGATTCATAAAACATTCAATATTTCAAACAAATCACAAACAAATACAATATTTCATTTTACATGCCGGCAACGAGACGTTCAACGTCCAACTAAACTGTATCAGTTTGAGGTTTGATAGTAAGGAAATTTATCCCTATAACAGTTAAAAGAATTTTAAAAGCGCGAATTTTTCTACCAACAAAACTTATAAAGAATCAACACTGAGAAGGAATGACGAGAAAAATATTGGGTTGATGGAAAAGTGCTTTCCGATTTTTTGGGAGAGTACCTTAAATTTGTCGAATTTAGACGTTTTATAGCTCATTCTAAAGCTGAATTCAAGACGGATCGATTGGTAAAAACCGTTTTGAGATATCTCTTTTCTAATAGTTTTTACGGCTATTTTAGTAAAGGGCGGCGAAAAATGGCTGTTTTCAGAGCCAAAAAATGGCTGTTTTCACGTTTCGTTAGTTTTCCGTGCAGAAACCTAGGCAGAAACCTAGACACGCATTTTCAGAATCTTAGCAACCTAGGTTTCTGCACGGAAAACTAACGAAACGTGAAAAGAGCCATTTTTTGGCTCTGCCGCCCTTTACTAAAATAGCTGTAAAAACTATTAGAAAAGAGATATCTCAAAACGGTTTTTACCAATCGATCCGTCTTGAATTCAGCTTTAGAATGAGCTATAAAACGTCTAAATTCGACAAATTTAAGGTACTCTCCCAAAAAATCGGAAAGCACTTTTCCATCAATCCAATAGCTTTGAAAAATTGATGTAGAAAAATGAAAGATATTCAGCCAACAAGCTGGAACACATTTACTTAATTAGCAACGAAGTGGGCTATTAAATAAAATTAACTTTGGATAAATGCAATGCAGTACTATTAGAGTAAATCCGGTAATTCAAAAAATTTATAGATTCACTAACCTTCTTCACGATCTCTGACAGTGGGACGCCAGAGTAAAGTGGACCATTTCCACGTTCATCTCCACGTTCATCGCAGATGGAAGTGTCAAAAGATGTCGGTCGTAGGATGATTCCAAGTTCACAGGCCCAATTGTAGTCCAACGGAACAGCTCGTGGTGTAATCTCTTCTCGGGGTTGTAGTCGGCCGCTCATCAGCTCATCTTGATAGGCTTTATAGATCAATTGTAGGCTTTGTTGTAAGCCTTGTTGGAAGCCTGTAAGCCTGGTTGTAAGCCTTGTTGTAAGCCTTGTTGTAAGCCTTGTTGTAAGCCTGTAAGCCTTGTTGTAAGCCATGTTGGAAGCCATGTTGGAAGCCTTGTTGGAAGCCTTGTTGTAAGCCTTGTTGTAAGCCTGTAAGCCTTGTTGTAAGCCATGTTGGAAGCCTTGTTGTAAGCCTGTAAGCCTTGTTGTAAGCCTTGTTGTAAGCCTTGTTGTAAGCCTTGTTGGAAGCCTTGTTGTAAGCCTTGTTGTAAGCCTGTAAGCCTTGTTGTAAGCCATGTTGTAAGCCTTGTTGGAAGCCTTGTTGTAAGCCTTGTTGTAAGCCTGTAAGCCTTGTTGTAAGCCTTGTTGCAAGCCTTGTTGTAAGCCTTGTTGTAAGCCTTCAAGATTCAAGCCATTCACCCATTCTACTCGATCATTTGACACGTGCCGCCTTATCCCTAAATAAAGCTCCCGTCAACATATGGATAGGGAAATGAAAAGACAGATTTGAGGAAAGAAAAGGAATGAAGTTCTCTTTTCTTTTTCGATCAAATCTCCTTCTTTTCCTTGAAAGCAAAGAGTAGTTGAGTCGACCATCTGGCACCAGCTCCCTTTCAACTGAATATCTTTCAATGAGTCAAAGAAAAGTCAATTTCTTTAGCACTCAAACTCTTCATTTTTCTGTTTAAATGAAAATAAGCTTTGATTTTCGCTTTTCGAAAGCTAGTCGATCAATTCCGGGACTTAAACGGGAGTAGATGAATTCCGGGACTTAAACGATCAAGTGTGTCTCTCTTTTGAATGAGCAATTCACTTGCTGTTGCCAACTTTTATGACCCTTCCTTTCCTTCCTCAAGCTAGAGCTCAATCTAGAGCTCAATCTACTTTTCGAAAAGCGTTTTTAGTGACCTTTTACCCTTAAAATTTATAATACTCACAAACAGATCGTTTTTTTTATTCTTAAAACTAAGTTATTATTCATAAAAGCTATTTTGCCACCAGGCGTACTCAATAAATTTATAAGCTTTCATTCCAAGACGACTTTTGACATTACGGCCCATAGAATTTCGAGAAATTTCCATATTCTTTGCCATCCTGCCCTGCGAACGAGTAGCTTTCAAGCGTAGCACCAATCTTGAACGATGCGAGCTTTGTGTGTGGGTGCCCCAGCCTGTTGAAAGCACCAAATCCTTTTTTCAAAATCCTTTTTAGCCTATGGATGTATTTCTTGCTTAAGCATATCCGAATAATTGGTTTCATTGACTTTGATTCCTTGTGGGAAAACAGAAGAGTCTTTCAGCGTAGCCGATTTAAGTGTAGCTGATCTCGAACCTTCTGAAGCGTAGCTGATCTCGAACCTTCTTCTTGGTGTCCAAGCTTTACCACGGGACGATCAGAATTTCTTCCTAACTCTTGAAAGCGTTTGATCGCTTGAACAAGTTTTTTGCGTATCAATCCCAGATTTTTTATTTATTTTTCCATTACAGTAAAGCCATTGCATTTTGCCATTTTAATTCTTATGCCTATTCTTATGCCTATTCTTATGCCTATTCTTTTGCCTATTCTTTTGCCTATTCTTATGCCTATTCTTATGCCTATTCTTATGCCTATTCTTATGCCTATTCTTATGCCTATTCTTATGCCTATTCTTATGCCTATTCTTATGCCTATTCTTATGCCTATTCTTATGCCTATTCTTATGCCTATTCTTTTGCCTATTCTTATGCCTATTCTTATGCCTATTCTTATGCCTATTCTTATGCCTATTCTTTTGCCTATTCTTTTGCCTATTCTTTTGCCTATTCTTTTGCCTATTCTTATGCCTATTCTTTTGCCTATCCACTTTTTTATGATCATCTATCATTCTACAGTACTATTTCTTTCAATCAAATCAAAACAAATGTCCAGAGTACTCTAGTCATCAAGAAGATATCGAAAGCTTTGCCAAAAATGGAGAAAAAACTTCAATCTCTCCGTTCTCGTTCGGCCAACTTTTTCCCGATATGCCAAAGTGTTTCCTGGGCCTTTCCCCATCCCAATTCCCTTTCCTTTTCCATTCAACAGACCGGATCTTTCCATCGAATTTCCCCCCCCACAAGTGGATCTCTTTTCTTCAGCTCTTTCCCTTGCCTTTTCCTTCCCTTTCCTTCCCTTTCCCCTTTTGTACCCCTTTTTCTACTCGAGATCCACCCAGTCTGATTGTCTTCTCGAAATCCCACGGATTTCATATCACAAAATTCATCCCACCTTAATATTAGCGCATTCTGTCTATTTACTATTCACATCAGCTACGAGCAGCTTTTGAATTGCAGCAATTCGACTGCAGCAACTACAGTACTCCTACAGCATCCTACAGTACTTCTATAGCATCCTACAGTACTCCTACAGCATCCTACAGTACTTCTATAGCATCCTACAGTACTTCTATAGCATCCTACAGCATCCTACAGCATCCTACAGCATCCTACAGCATCCTACAGCATCCTACAGCATCCTACAGCATCCTACAGCATCCTACAGCATCCTACAGCATCCTACAGCATCCTACAGTACCCTTCCAATATTCATCCACAGTACTCTTTCAGCAATCATCTCCAGTACTGTTATAGTACCAGCGCTTCTACAATACTCATCTAATACCCCTGCAATTCTGCTACAATAATTCCGCTACAGTAATTCCGCTACAGCACCGCTACAGTACCCTACAGTTACTCCATTTCAAGAATAGATTTCTGATTCCTACTTTTCCTCAAAATGATCATCAAAATCGGCTCTTCGCACTCGATTTGCTCAGAGAAATCGGCTTCACTCACAGCTCCAGATTCTAAATTCATAACGATTCGAGAGAATTTTGATCACCTTATCAGGTAACGAGAAAACAAGCTCTAATCTTTACAGCATCCAGGCCAGGCTTAGGCTTAGGCTTGGTTTAGGCTGGGCTTAGGCTTGGCTTAGGTTTAGCTTAGGCATGGCTTAGGCTTGGCTTAGGCTTGGCTTAGGCTTGGCTTAGGCTTGGCTTAGGCTTAACTTAGGCTTGGTTTAGGCTTAGCTTAGGCTTAGCTTAGGTTTAGGCTTAACTTAGGCTTGAACTTAGTGTAAAGGCTAGCGGCTAGCGCCTCGCGCTAAGTCTATTTGGGTCGATTTGGGTCGATTTTGTCTCACTCCGTTTTCTGGATTTAGGCTTAGGCTTAGGCTTCCCTTAGGAGTACTGTAACGGAAAATACAGGCTGCCTGGGTACTGTAAAGCTCTTTCTAAAGTACGCTTGAAAGGATTTTACAGTATCTTCAAAAAAACAAATATTCGCCACTTTGTAAAGTCGACTCTCGATTTAACAACGATACAACGATTTTGGAATTCAAAAGAATTCGTTTCTGCGTAGCTGCCCAGATCGTTGGTTGTTCAGGGCAGTTACGCAAGAGATTCAGGCATGTTAATCGTTAATAGTTGACTGTATTCTGTCGTCATCATCACCGTCATCATTTCTCTTTTGTTTCTTATCGTTTTCTTTTTCGCTTTCTTTTCCCCATCATCGTCAACCACTCACATTGTTTGTTTGACAAGAGATGACTCGTTTTTTTTTGTTCCACTGATATTTGTGGTCTCCACTGGTTCTTGTGATGTTGACTTTATTGTTTCGATTGTAAACAAACTGCTTGGTATTGAAACGGACACTTTCTGACCAAATGAACTTTCTAACCCATGAACTTTCTGAGCGAATGATATTTCAAAAAGTTCCAATTGAGAAAGTGAGCGTTTTTTTAAAGCACAAATACATGAACAAATGAAAGTTTAGATTCTATCTTCTATTTCTAGAAAGTATCTTGTCCTCTAGTTGAGCAAATGAGCTACCGGATTCTCCGGATGAGCTACCGGATTCTCCGGATGAGCTACCGGGTTGTCCGGATGGGCTACCGGGCCTCCGGATGAGCTACCGGATTCTCCGGATGAGCTACCGGATTCTCCGGATGAGCTACCGGATTCTCCGGATGAGCTAGGGATTCTCCCGATGAGCTACCGGGTTGTCCGGATGAGCTACCGGATTCTCCGGATGAGCTAGGGATTCTCCCGATGAGCTACCGGGTTGTCCGGATGAGCTACCGGATTCTCCGGATGAGCTAGGGATTCTCCCCGATGAGCTACCGGGTTGTCCGGATGAGCTACCGGATTCTCCGGATGAGCTAGGGATTCTCCCGATGAGCTACCGGGTTGTCCGGATGAGCTACCGGATTCTCCGGATGAGCTAGGGATTCTCCCGATGAGCTACCGGGTTGTCCGGATGAGCTACCGGATTCTCCGGATGAGCTAGGGATTCTCCCGATGAGCTACCGGGTTCTCCGGATGAGCTACTGGATTCTCTCTAATAGTAGTGCACCCTGCCTAGCCGAATTGATGACTATTTTACGGTTTCTAAGGTCTCAGAAGCTCAACACTCAAATCCTCCACAAGATCTCATCGTTAGCTACATTTTCCAACCCCATATCAATAGGTGATAAGCGATAAGCGCTCGATAAGCGCTTTTCGAGATTTCGAGGAATTTAGATGACGCTCAGGGTGCACAAAAACAGAGCTAGCGTCTTCTCTGTTATTACAGAGAAGACGGTAGCTCATTTGCTCAATTAGAGGACAAGATAAATGGAAATGAGCTTGATTTTCTTTTCTCGATAGCTCAATCAGATCGAACACAGATCGTTTGAGTAGCTCGATAGCTACTCAAATGATCTGTGTTCCCGTTTCCGTCATCACACGTGCACAAGTCCCGCAAAGTCGACACAAGACACGGGATTACGCATTCTTCTTTTCTCCAACAAGCTTTCTCCAACAAGCTTCAGTCCTTAGATCAGAAAGAGACGTATCTTTCCCCCCTTTTCTTTCATTTCCCTTCTTCCACATTTCCCTTTTTTCTCCTGTCATCCGAATCTCTTCCCCGTTGAACGCCATCCCCTCCACCAGACTTGTTTATCCAGATTTACCAATAGAAACTAAAACCTATCGATATTTTACTTGCCTTAATCTTTTTTCAATCTTGAAGCTCTTTTTTCAATCTTGAAGCTCTTTTTTCAATCTTGAAGCTCTTTCCCAGGAGTCTAGACGTAATTCAATCCTTTCGCACTCTAGAAGTTTAAATTCGAATTCTATTCTTATTCTATTCTTATTCTATTCTTATTCTATTCTTATTCTATCTTTTGTTCTAGCTTTGAAATTTAACTGAACAGATCTCTTCTTGCTTTTAAAACCTTTTCAAAATCCTTTGTACTTGTTTGGTTTGATTTACAACAGAACTATAAGACAAAACTCTAGAAACTGGTTGATTCTGAGCTGGAGCATTGGTTTAACTGCTGATAGCTGATACCTGATTGAATTTAACTGCTGATAGCCGATACCTGATTGGATTTAACTGCTGATAGCCGATACCTGATTTGGCTTACTTGATTGCTTTGATTTGATTTGGTTAATTAGTTGATCAAATTGACCTTGACTTCTAAGAACTGGCTTGACTCTAGCTGAGCTTGATCGATCCTGATCTAATCTGACCAAGTCTTACATTACTTATTGACCGATACTCAAGCTTAATTGAATCATGACTGTACCAAATTTGCTCCAGGTCACGATCTAGATCTAGACTAGATATAGACTAGATCTAGTTTGATCCCTGATTTGTTCCTGCAAGAGATCAACCAGCGAGATCTAGTCTGTTGGTACTATTTCCTAGATCTAGTCTGTTGATACTTCCAAATCATATCTTTTAACCTTGTCAGTTCAATGTGACGCCTAATTTTAGTCAATAAGTCCAAGAATTAGTCTAGGAATCTCTTCAAGATTTCCCAAAACCAGGGAGTTGTTTAAGTGTCATGGTTTTCTTGGCTTAATGTTCTATCCAAATCATTCTGTCTTTTCCATTTCTAGTGAACCTGGAGCGCAATAGTCATTCTTGAAGATCACAAACTCTTAGTTTCATCCATAATGGTAGGTCATTTGATTGAGAATCAAGCAGGTTTGATCCTGGTCCTGAGCCTAGACAAGGATTAAGAGGAGTCGGAAGGCAAGACAGTAGTTCACCAACAAGCTAGTGGTTCAGCAACAAGCTAGCAGTTCAGCAACAAGCTAGTTCAATGTTTCAAAAAGCTAGTTTCAATCAAGGTTAAGTTCTGGTAAACCAGGATAAAGTCTAACATTAGTCAATAAGTGCAGGAATCTTTCCTCTCTCCAAATCAAGATTCCTCTCTCCAAGATTCTTCTCTCTAAAACCAGAGGAGTTATTTAGAAGTGTTTCTCTTCGTTCTTGATACTATTTTTTGTTTCTATAGAATTTCTACATCTACATTTTCAACTTGTAAACAAAATTGTAGAGCAATCGGCTAAGAAACAGCCGAGAAAACGATGGTGGAAGGTTCGGCTTTGAATTTTCCTATTTCTAGTGAACCCGGAGCTCTGGACTGACTTGCCTGTCCTTATGGTTCCAATATGGTTCCAATATGGTTGCAATATGGTTCGGATACGGTTGCAATATGGTTCCAATATGGTTCCAATATGGTTCGGATACGGTTCCAATATGGTTCCAATATGATTCCAATATGGTTCCAATATGGTTCGGATACGGTTCTAATATGGTTTCAATATGGTTCGGATACGGTTCCAATATGGTTCCAATATGGTTCTAATATGGTTCCAATATGGTTCCAATATGGTTCCAACATGGTTCGGATACGGTTCCAATATGGTTCGGATACGGTTCGGATACGGTTGGATACGGTTCCAATATGGTTCCAATATGGTTCGGATACGGTTCCAATATGGCTCCAATATGGTTCGGACACGGTTCTAATATGGTTTCAATATGGTTCGGATACGGTTCCAATATGGTTCGGATACGGTTCGGATACGGTTGGATACGGTTCCAATATGGTTCCAATATGGTTCGGATACGGTTCCAATATGGTTCCAACATGGTTCGGATACGGTTCTAATATGGTTTCAATATGATTCGGATACGGTTCCAATATGGTTCCAATATGGTTCTAATATGGTTCCAATATGGTTCCAATATGGTTCCAACATGGTTCGGACACGGTTCCAATATGGTTCGGATACGGTTCCAATACGGTTCCAATACGGTTCCAATATGGTTCCAATATGGTTCCAACATGCTTCGGATACGGTTCCAATATGGTTCCAATATGTCTGACCAGGTCTGACTGATCTGTCTGACCAGAGCTGACTCTAATCTAATCCAAAGTCAGCTATTCAAAGTTAGTAAAACGTTAGTCAATAAGTCTACCAGAGAAATCTCTCAAAAAAGAAGTTTGGCTCTCTAAAAGGGGAGTTGTTCAGAAGTATCCGCGCTTTTCCCCTCACTCATTCATCTCCCCATTCGCCCATTTTTCTTCTTTCATCTTGCCGCCTTTTCCCCTTTCATTTCTTTTTTTTTCTTTTCCCATTTACGGCTCTTCTTTTCCACATAAACGACTCACCGATAACCCCTCCAAATGCCGGTGTCCTTTTTTTCTGAAAAATTTCCTCTTTGACTAAAAAAAGTCGATTTCCTCAGTGAATTCTTGTTTTTATCTTGTTTTTACAGAAAAGGTACTACTTTTTAAGAGCATTTACCCACTTTATTGGGGGTAAATGCTCACAGAATTGTGGGTAAATACCCACAGCATTGTGGCGAATTGCCACTGCTCTGCAGTTAGTCAAAATTCAATAAACAAGTTAAAATTCAAAGTTGATGGATAAACTACCGTAATCAGCCACTAGACGATATTCAGTTGTCCGTTTGGCGTGGCTTGTGTCCTTAAAAACCCATTATTTAAGCTTTGCCTTGAGGCAGTTGTGTGTTCCTTTTTCTAGTCATCTCTTTTTTCACACGCAAGTGTTGAAGTAATTGTGCCAGGTTGCTAGTGCCAGGTTGCTAGTGCCAGGTTGCTAGTGCCAGGTTGCTAGTGCCAGGTTGCTAGTGCCAGGTTGCTAGTGCCAGGTTGCTAGTGCCAGGTTGCTAGTGCCAGGTTGCTAGTGCCAGGTTGCTAGTGCCAGGTTGCTAGTGCCAGGTTGCTAGTGCCAGGTTGCTAGTGCCAGGTTGCTAGTGCCAGGTTGCTAGTGCCAGGTTGCTAGTGCCAGGTTGCTAGTGCCAGGTTGCTAGTGCCAGGTTGCTAGTGCCAGGTTGCTAGTGCCAGGTTGCTAGTGCCAGGTTGCTCCAGTTTGAGCGAAGTTTGGCCTAATAAGGGAAAGTTTTGATAAAGATTTGGTTCCTTTTCTCTTCTCTACAGATTTGGTTCCTTTTCTCTACAGATTTGGTTCCTTTTTGGTATAGATTTGTTCCTTTTCTCTACACGTTTGGTTCCTTTTCTCTATTATGTGTTTTCAAGACATCTACCATTAAACCACACCGAGACACGGTCTCACAAGAAATTATAAAGATCAAAGTATAAATATATTTCTTACAATTATCTATTAGGTTGATGCATAAGTCTTTTCGTTTTTTTCGTACTTCTGTTAAAAAGTAACAAATTCACCAATTAATCTATAGTTTGCTCTATAAAAAAAGTGTTTTTTTGTTCAATTTGCATCTTTTTAAATGAATTTCGGTTCACTTTCAAGCAAATTCGAGAGTGAAAAACGCCTTTTTCGTAAAAATCTATAAAAAACTCTACGGAAAAATTGGCTGAATGAATTTCTCTGAAATTTTCGCGAAATATCAAACGTTTTTTTTCTCTATCTTTTATCTATTGACACGAAGATAGGTTTTCTTTAGCTAAGGTGTCTAAACCGCATCATCGAGTTAGCCCTTTTTGACTACCCGACTTCATACTCTCAAGAAAATCCAGGCATTAAATATTTTTAAACCCGTTTTAATGTTATTTTGCAGAAAAATAATTGCTTTTTCTAATGAAATCAACCGTAGTTTAATTGGTGCATTTGTTGGCTTGAAACGGCAGACGAAAAGGAACAAAAACACTTATGCATCAACCTATTACCAAAAACTAGCGTAGGGTAGCCTTAATCAAATATCAAAACAAATATGACTTTCAAATGATCCAACAGTTCTCGTTTACTGAAAACGCGAAAAACAGGGAAATTCACGCAATTTAAGCCCCGTCCCTTTTTGCCGTAATTACGGAGCGTCGCGTTTGCGCACAGACAGACGGACCGGCAGACGTCTCTTTTGCTTTATATGGTAGGCCAGAATTACGGCTTCATCTTTTCATCTTTTCATCTTTACATGCCAAACGCCGCAATCAATTCAAAAATTCTAAGTGTGTTATGTGGAGAATTGAAGCCTGAATTCTTGCCTATATTTCTGTATCAAAAGATTTTTGATCGAAGTTTTGCAGCTGATTTCTAAGACTCTCAAATGAGCTCAATTCGATCAATCTCTGGCACGCTTCCATTTTTAGATGTTTTCGAACTATATAATATAATAAATATAGATATTAAATATTATATACCGTATTTTCTGTAATAGTAGTGCAGGCAGGAGGGGGGTTTAAAAAATAGTAGTGCACTCTGTTAAGTTTTGCCCTGTTGTTGTTCATTTTGGTTTTCTTTGTTTTAAAAGTATAGTGGTAGCTAAATGAGATGTCTTTATGTGATTGTGAATAACTTTTTGACAGATTCTTTGATTTCTTTGATTGATTTACAAGCATTTTCTTATTCTTTGCAATACTGTTCCAATACGGTTCCAATACGGTTCTTTTTTTGATCAAATACGGTTCCAATACGGTTCTTTTTTTGATCCAATCTGGTTCGATACGGTTCTTTTTTTGATCCAATACGGTTCCAATACTGTTCCAATACGGTTCCAATACGGTTCTTTTTTTTGATCCAATACGGTTCCAATACGGTTCTTTTTTGATCCAATCTGGTTCGATACGGTTCTTTTTTTGATCCAATACGGTTCTAAGTGTGTTATGTCGAGAATTGAAGCCTGAATTCTTGCCTATATTTCTGTATCAAAAGATTTTTGATCGAAGTTTTGCAGCTGATTTCTAAGACTCTCAAATGAGCCCAATTCGATCAATCTCTGGCACGCTTCCATTTTTAGATGTTTTCGAACTATATAATATAATAAATATAGATATTAAATATTATATACCGTATTTTCTGTAATAGTAGTGCAGGCAGGAGGGGGGTTTAAAAAATAGTAGCGCAGGGAGGAGGGGGATTTAAAAAATAGTAGTGCACTCTGTTAAGATTTGCTCTGTTGTTGTTCATTTTGGTTTTCTTTGTTTTAAAAGTATAGTGGTAGCTAAATGAGATGTCCTTATGTGATTGTGAATAACTTTTTAACAGATTCTTTGATTTCTTTTCTTTGATGACTATTTCTTTGATTGATTTACAAGCATTTTCTTATTCTTTGCAAAGTTTGATTTTTTAGAAATGGACAGCGATTCCGATAAACACTGGCAAGAATCAAGAAATCGAACAAATCAAGCATCAAATCAAGCAAATCAGCATATTGATCAATTCGAAAATGATACTCGAGATTGGAACGCTCAATGCAAAGAGGATTTTCCCGTGCCTGAAGATGAAATCAACTTGGGTGCAATCAGCGGCCGCTAGAAAATTCGGTGTTTCGGTTTTCGGTTCGCTAGAAAATGTTCTCCAATGATGCAAGCAAGAGGACGAGTTTGTGAGGCAAAAAGGAAAACAATTGAAGGAGGAAATCCCGCTCCACAACCGATGGAAATTTACTTGACATGGGTTTGAAACGCTTGGAATAAGCTGCCGAAGGATCTAATCGTTTACTCCTTCAAGAATTGTAGAATTACTACAACCACTGACGAATCAGAAGACCACATTATCCACTGCTTCAGAAAAAATGGCTCAATTCCGAAGGGAGCAAAACGTCTCTCGTCGCTCGAGCAGAAAAAGCAACAAATGAAATCAACGATCATCAGTGAAAAAAAATGGAAACTCTCTAATTGTAGTACAATTAGAAAAAGCCTGCAAAAAAGCCTCTGCAGGCTGGAGGGCGGTTGAAAAAAAATAGTAGTGCGGTATATATTAATTAATTAAATATATAAATGAATGAATAGCGAAGGTTTAAAAGTCCCTAACTTTGTTTAGAGATATTATTATTCTAAATTTTCTATATTATTTTAAAAAGGACACGTCAGACTTTAGAATTATACAAAATAAAGCTTACTTGAGTCATTTGATTGTAAATTTAAGTTCAAGAGTCATCCAGCCGAAAGGAAAGCCTTCTTTCTTTATTTCCTTCTTTCTCTTCTTTCTTTCTCTTCTTTCTTTCTATTCTTTCTATTCTTTCTATTCTTTCTATTCTTTCTCTTCTTTCTCTTCTTTCTCTTCTTTCTCTTCTTTTTTTCTCTTCTTTCTTTTCTTTTCTCAAAGAAACGGCTCCTTTGATGTTTCGGGAATGATCAAAAAGACACAAACCCATACTCTTTTCAACAATTATCTTCTCTTTACCAATCTCTTTCCCCAATTTTCCCCAATTTTTTTGTTTTCCCAACAACCCAACATCCTTTTTCTTGCTTTAATTCAAAGCTTTACCGCCATGTCACATTTATTTAGCTATTTTTGCAATAACTGAATATCTTTAGCAACTAATTAGAGCATTTTGAATTTCTTCTTTCTTTTTGACAATTTCTTTTTGTTTTAAACTTTGAACTATATAATTTGAATTATAATCACAATTTGCGAATATTTCCTTATCTGGTAGATTGATCCTGGATGTCATTTCCTTTTTTTCCTTATAGCTAAGATCTATTCGTTTAGGTTTAGCAAGGGTTTTAGTCTAGCAAAGACAATAGATTTTATCGTACAGTTATACCTCAAAACTTACATTAACTCTCAATCAAGATGGACAAAAACAAAACATGTTTACAGGGGTAATCATTGAAGAATAAGTGAAAGCAATGCTCTCGAAGAGAACGTTTTTTTCAATTTCTTAACCATAAACTCCGCTAGATAGCTTTCCAAATGATTTCGAAGATTTCCTTTTTATTCCTCCGTTTCGGGTTTCTCGGCGGGTAACAGCATAACCGTGTAGTAACGATTTTACTTTGTCTATGGTTGCTCCAAGGTTTTTTTCCAGGACAGGATCAGCTCCTAGCCTTGCCTGAGCCACAAAAGTCACTAAATCCGACTGTGACCCTGAAAATTGCCTCTGGAACAGCCTGTACACAGGCTTGTCTTGTCCCTGGTTTTTAGTCTGGATTTGGACTGAATTTGATTCTTGAATTGAATTCTTGAATTCTTGAATTGAATTCCTGAATTCCTGAATTCCTGAATAGCCTGGCTGACCCTAGAACCTGCCAGCCTTGAATTCTTGAATTCCTGAATGGCTTGGCTGACCCTAGAACCTGCCAGCCTTGAATTCTTGAATTCCTGAATGGCTTGGCTGACCCTAGAACCTGCCAGCCTTGAATTCTTGAATTCCTGAATGGCCTGGCTGACCCTAGAACCTGCCAGCCTATCGTCTCGGTCTACTCCTAGCTTGTGGCTGATCTTGTGGCTGATCGATTTTGTGAGCCCAGTTCTCTAGTTCAAGAAGTAACCTAGCTTGCTGCAAGCCTGGCTCATGAAAAGTCCTTGAGCTAGCATTTGTTTCCGACTTTTCCGACTTTTCCGAGTTACAAGTCAGAGCCGCATCCATTTTTCTTCATCTTCTAGGGTTTCTTTTTAACTCCAGTCACATTAGCATTGATCTCGAATAAATAAAGCTCATTTATAGCTAGATCCAACTATAAACGTATCTACAAACGTATCTATAATCTCTATTTGCCTGTAGATTTCACAAATTCATCCCAATTATCAAAGCTATCAAAGCCTTAAAATTTCGCATTTTTCAGGATGTCCGGCGCTCGTACGGCTCTGCGGGACGTCGTCGCACTGCTCGAGAACCCCGACGGAGTGCACGCGTTCAGGAATTGGCTGTCAATCGTTCGTGGCCACTAGAAATCTATCTAAAATCATCTAATAAACAGATCCACTCTATAGCTGGCTCTTTTTGAGTTATCGTGCTCGTTTCCCGGATTATTTTCCGATTCGAATATATAGTGCAAAGTTGCAAAAATTCTCGTTTCTAGTCTAAATCGTGGCCCAATGAGCTGCCAGCCAGATCCGTAATGTTTTCCCTTTTTTCTGTGCCCGGCAACAGTACGAAACTGTGGTCAAGGGAGTCTAAGCCTTTAAGCCCTTAAGCCCCCCTTAAGCCCCCCTTAAGCCCCCCTTAAGCCCCCCTTAAGCCCTACGAAGTTATAACCTAGTCTATAGTCTACTCTAGACTTGTAACGAAAAGATCTGTCAGTCCTTTTTTGCCATTGGCATTTAAGGCATGGTATTGGCATAACATTTAAGATTTTTCGTGTTTTTCTCAGCACCAACCCATCGATTTTGATTATTTTACTTATCAAACGATGCAGAATCAAATGCTGCATTAAATGATACCAAAACCAACTTAAAATATAATATCCATGCAAAGTTATGAGGCAAATGGTTAAGCCCCGCCCATAATAGCCCGGGTTTCGGTTTTTAGCCAACAACTTTGCGTAGGTATTACATTTTGAGTTGGTTTTGGTATCATTCGATGCGGAATTTGATTCTGCATCGAATGCTAGTCAAAATAGTCAAAATAAAAGGATTGGTGCTAAGAAAAACACGAAAAACCTTAAATGTTATGCCAACCTTAAATGCCAATGGCAAAAAAGGATCGACAGATGTTTTTTGCTACAATTCTAGTCTAGTCCGATACTGGTAGAAATCATTTTGTGAATCCAATGTCCAATATCCAATGTCCAGAATACCAATTCCAATTCACTTGTCATTTGGCCACAATTCCAGGATTCTCAAAAAAAACCGGGAAATGACCACGATTTTTTCGAGCACGACAATTTGAAAAGAGAACGATAAAGGCTTCGAAAAGGCTTCGTTATCAGTCTAGAGCCAACAGATTCAATCTCCAATTTTTCAGGATCCAGCGCGTACAATCGACGCCCTTGACCTGTATCTCGCACTGCGCGGTCTTTCACTTCTCATCGAAAATGAGGACCCGAATTCGCAGCGAACCGCTTGTCACATTCACAGAAAGTACATCAGGTATTCTATGCCTAACAATGCCCAGTCTGGCGTTGGCCTTCAATTGTAGGCTAGCCAGGATTAGACCAAAGCCTGGCTTACCTAGCCAGGATTAGACCAAAGCTTGGCTTGGCTAGCCAGGATTAGACCAAAGCTTGGCTTGGCTAGCCAGGATTAGACCAAAGCTTGGCTTAGCTAGGCAGGATTAGACAAAAGCCTAGCTTGGCTAGCCAGCCCAAGATCCATTTGGATACTGTGCTAGCCTAGGATTTTAATTCATTGTATAAATTGGCTGTCATATCTGCCATAAGATGAAATCTCGAATTTCTAGTCTCCGCACGGGTTCCTGTCATTTCCTGCCCCATGATGCCCGTCTCGAGATGTCCTCTCGTATCCACTCGCTTCCTCCATCACTTCCCACCTTTTCCCCTCCACTTCCACCAATCGATCTTTTCTCTCCAATCCACGATCATCTCCATAATCATCTCAGCTATCTTCACTCGCAATTCATCACAACAAAACTCTTTCATGATGTAAGTTTTCTGGCTGATTACCGTAAATATTCTAGAAGAGCCCCTCTATAATAACCATTCGAATGGTATCTTAAGAAGACATTTGAATAGTAACTTAAGAAGACATTTGAATGGCATCTTTAGAAGACTTCTTCAGAATACATTCGAATGGTATCTTAAGAAGGCATTTGAAAGTATCTTAAGAAGATATTTGAATAGTAACTTAAGAAGCCATTCGAATGGTATCTTAAGAAGACATTCGAATGATATCTTAAGAAGACATTTGAATAGTATCTTTAGAAGACATTCGAATGAAGACGGCTTTCCCAGCAGTGCTATATCGGTGTTTATGTGGACAAGCGTCTAACTTTAAGCGCTTTATTCTCAGCGCCATTTCATGCTAAATGATCTCAGCGCCATTTCATGCTAAATGATCTCAGCGCCATTTCATGCTAAATGATCTCAGCGCCATTTCATGCTAAATGATCTCAGCGCCATTTCATGCTAAATGATCTCAGCGCCATTTCATGCTAAATGATCTCAGCGCCAAGTGTGCGCGAACCTAGCGAAACGTTGGGGAAAAGTTAGAAATTCATTTGGGAAACATAACATTTAATTCTGATTCTTCGTTATTTTTATGTGTTGAATAATAAATAAAATTCAAAATCTCTGGATTTTTATGGGACAACCTAATAAGTATCAAAAAGAAAAAAATAGGGCCATTAAAAGCTAATAGAAGCAATCTAATAGAAGCACCGCCTAATAGAAGCAATCTAATAGAAGCACCTCTAATAGAAGCACAAGTCTATAAAGGCGGCCAAGCGTATAAAGACGGCCGGAGCGTCACGTAGTCGTCACTTTAAGCGCCTCGTTCTCAGCGCCGTTTTATGCTACAGTGTGCGCTTAGGCATCAAACGATAGCCCTGAATCTCAGCTATCTTTTGACACCAAGCATGCATTTTTGAAAGTACGGGCGCTTAGAAAAAAAAGAATTACTGAATTACTGAAAAGATTTTTGTGAGGGGTGCTTTGATAAGAATATTTCCGGTATTTTGTGCCCTGAGAAACGCATGCTTTCTGGCACACTGGGTTTCTTAATGAATTGATTTCAGTTTGTCCACATGGTCACCTCCACAAGCTCTTTCGATGTCCAAGAAGCGACCACCAGTTATCCAACGATACAGAGGTATTCATAGTTTCAGATTTCAGTTTTTTCGGATTTTTTCCTTTAGAGTAAACATCTCTGGTGTACTTTGTGCTCAAATTTGTAAACGCACACCTACTAGTGTACACGATTCTCTTTATTACTCGATTTTTCTCTCAATCTTTTGATTTCATCAGAAAAATGAAGGATTCGGTGAAGAAAGGGTGCATTTACAAATTTTCGACTTTTGGCGTAGATTGTAGCTAATTGTAGCTAATTGCAATGTACAGGGTTTTCCAAAATTACGGGGACTAAGAGCTTTGAAGAAAGCTCTTCAAAAAGCTTAAGCTTTTTTGTAATTTGTAATTTGGAGTCTTTGGATTTGGAGAATTTGGAGTCCCAACTGGATGTTGGGGTGCCGCTCCACGCCTTAGGCTCAGGCTCAGGCTTAGGCTTAGGCTTAGGCACTGTGCTCTTGTAGGAACTCATGAAGCATGACATGAATATGTCCCGGTGGTCAATTAAAAGATTTATCCCCAGTACCAAACTTGGCAAACCATTTCGGAAGGTGAATCCTCCTCGTTCTTTCGGAAGGTGAATCCTCCTCATATATCTTTTTAATATTAGCAGCTGCCAAGCCTGCACTATGCCCTATAAAGTAACCAAATAGGAACCATAAAGGAACTAAATACGAATCAAATAGGACCCAAATAGGAATCAAATAGGACCCAAGTAGGTCCCAAACAGGCCCAAATAGGAACTACAAAGAACTAAATAGGAATCAAATAGGAATCAAATAGGAACCAATAGAAACTACAAGGCTACCTTCGCGCGACCTTGGACGCGATCACTCGTCTCGTCAAAGCGTCAAAACGCCTCCAGGCCTGTGCCGGGCCTGTGTCGCCAAGGGGTGGTCTTTAAATCCTCAAGTTCTTTAGTGCCCGTAATCCTGAACAACCCTGGTAGTCTAGGCTTTGTGTAGCTGTAGAAATTTCCCAAAATTCAGATCAATGCAAGCGATCGAGATCGAGGAAAGCGATGGGGAAAGGGAGGAAATCGAAAGAAATGAGCTGAATGGAGGAGGGGGAATTGTTGGAATGGACAAGCCACCGATTGTCCCACCACATCGATCATTCACATTCAACACGGTCAAGAGGAAAAGGGTGAAGGTGGGTGAATTACAGAAGATGAATAAGTGCTATTAGTGCAGGCTTATTAGTGCAAAGCCAGCATGCAAGACTAGCCAGGCCCCGGTCCTTTGCCATTGGCAATCTGACTTTAAGCTCGCATATCTTGGTGTTGGGTTGTCCAATTTTAATGATCTTGCTACCAATCGATAGAGCAAGACTAGGCGCATCTAATGGTACCAAGAACATTGAAATTGGACAGCTCAACACCAAAATATTTGAGCTCAAAGTTAGACTGCCAATAGCGAAGGGGGCGCCCCGTTTGCCATTGGCAACCTAGCTTTAAGCTCACATATCTTGGTGTTGGGTTGTCCAATTTAAATACTTTTGTACCAATCGACAGAGAAAGACTAAGTGCATCTAATGGTACCAAGAACATTGAAATTGGACAGCTCAACACCAAGATATTTGAGCTCAAAGTTAGATTACCAAATGGCATTTGATCTTGGCTTATTTCAGAAAAATTTTACAATTTTTTCTTCAGGTTCCTTTACTCGTCGAGCCGACTCCATTCCGTCATGATCGACCCGAGGGACGGCTACATTTTGCGGCAGTGCTCTCCGAGAAATTGGATCATTTACGAATGGAAATCGCGCAACAAAGAAATGAAGAGTATGGGCGAAAAGAAAATGATATTAATGTAAAGAAATTCAGTGAGAAAAATGCATTCAAAAAGCCGGCTTTTGAAGAAACGACAAGTGATGAAGAAGTGGCAAATACGCAGAACGGATGAATGAAAGGAGGAGAAGTGGTGAGTGGTTTTTTTTCTTTTATTCAACATTACTATAATTCGATGCAGAATCAAATTCCGCATCAAATGATACCAAAAACCAACTCAAAATATAAAATCCATGTAAAGTTGTTGGCTAAAAACTTAAACCCTGCCCATAATGGGCGGCACTTAGCCTTTCGCGACTCAAAACTTTGCATGGATATCACATTTTGAGCTGTTTTTGATATCATTTGATGCGGAATTTGTTTCTGCATCGAATTATAGTCGAAATATTGGAAATAAAAGGATTGGTGCTGAGAAAAACATGAAAAAGCTTAAATTGCCAACTTTTCGTGTTTTTTCTCAGCACCAACCCATCGATTTTGATTATTTTAATTATCAAACGATGCAGAATCAAATTCTGCATTAAATGATACCAAAATCAACTTAAAATATAATATCCATGCAAAGTTATGAGGCAAATGGTTAAGCCCCGCCCATAATAGCCCGGGTTTCGGTTTTTAGCCAACAACTTTGCGTAGGTATTACATTTTGAGTTGGTTTTAGTATCAGCCCGATGCGGAATTTGATTCTGCATCGAATGCTAGTCAAAATAGTCAAAATAAAAGGATTGGTGCTAAGAAAACACGAGAAACCTTAAATTGCTAGCGGCAAAAAGGATCGACAGATTTCTTCGTTACAAGTGAACTTTCAGCCTCTTGCTCCCCTCCATCAACAATTCCACTCTCCGTCGAGCCACTCGGCGGTCTTTAT